ATGGACACTGATCCAAAAGCTGTCTTAACTCTATCACTTTCCTAAAGTCCCTTAGGTTTTTTGAGCCTGAGTTTCCACATCATAAAATTTGGCTAAATAACACAGTTCAATGTCTATTATATTTTAAACTATTTTACATTTTTATCATTATATTTATAACATATTATTATCTTCTATCCTACACATCTACGTTTATGGAAAAACATTTTATTCTGTGACTCTTTAAGACATTAAATACTGCAACTAGTTCCTAAACATTCTAAGTATAAGGAAGCATGCTTTAAAATCCCACTCCTATATCCAGTAAAGACCCCAAAGACTATACAGTGAAAGAATTTCAGAAGTTACATGAGATATTACAGTTTCTTCAAAAGGTCTCAGGAAACTGAAACACATGAGGGCATGATTGATGGAATAATTAAAAAGACTGAAGTAGGTGATTTTAGCCTTGAATCAAGGAAACACTGACTGACTCAGAAAGTGAAAGATATAAAGTAAAATAAAATATCAAGGGGAAAATCTGTAAGAGACATTCCTCATTCTGAGTTCATATTAGTGAACCAGGCAGAGAAGAACTAAGACAAATGGGCAAAAGGGGAAACACAAAGATGTCACAGCTATCTGAGAAGGAGGCTTTATGGAATAAATTAAGAATGGCATACCATATGCCTCGGGAAGTGGACAGCAATCGGCTGGTCAAGTACAATCATATCATATCTATATGTTTAATATTAAAACTATCAGCATGGAAAAACACATTGACAGTGACAAGTCACACTGCTACTCATTTGAAATTTCAGATTACGCTTTGGCATGGATCCAGTGGTATACCACGGCTTCACTAAAATATGCAGTTTTCAAACTGCTGCATGTTAACAAGAGGCATAAATTGTACATCCTGGTTCTTATCCTGCGGACCATATGGAATTAAGCGGTGGATCAGAGCTTGCCCCACTTCTTGTCCAAAACCCAAAGGAATACATAATTAAGGGTTATAGACATAAAGACTAATGATTAAGTGGTTGGGATATAACCTAACTCGAAGAAGCTTATGCATATAAAGATCTAATCAAAGAAAATGTGCTAATGCTTATGTTTTCCTCTTTCTTCTTACACAGAAGTGAAAGTTTGCAATCCCATGGACTGTAGCCCACCAGGCTCCTCTCTCCCGCGAGTTCTCCAGGCAAGAATACTGGAGTGGGGTTCCCTGCCCTTCTCCAGGGGATCTTCCAGACCCTGAGATCCATCTGGGATCTCCTGCATTGCAGGCAAATTCTTTACCATCTGAGCCATCAGGTTACATATTACCAATTAAAGACCAAGAATGCACTGTGATGATAGGAAAACATTTTTCTCATTGCCTAACCATCGGCTTTATCAGTACTAAGTCAGATGGTTTGTTAGCCCTCTCCACATAGCTATCAATGATCCTTGCCTACTGATATTGATGCCCTTGTGCAGCCTTACTGCACATTTACCAGGGTTCATCTGTATGACTAACAACATCTGGCAGAAGAGACAGGAAGATGATATATCACTGATGAAATCAAGTTACAAAAAAGACCACGATTTCTGTTTTGGCAAGCTCTCTTGCATGCATGTTTTTTTTTCCCTTCCTCTTTTCCTGGAAAGCAGTCTGCCATAATGTGAGCAGCCCAACAGCAAGGAGCTGACACCTCCAACCAAGAGCCAGTGAGAAATAACAACCAGTAAAACCAATAACCAGAGCAATAATCTTGTAAACAATTTCTGTAGACCCAAGGGAGCCGTAACAAGCCTGAAAAATCAAGCTGTGTTATAACTTCACGAGAAACCTTGAACCAGAACCACCCTATTATTACATGACTGACTCTCATACTTCTTACCAAGAGACCCTGTGCAAGAGAAACACTGTTTGCTGGGATTTTTTAATTGGAGATAATTGCTTAACAATGTTGTGTTGGCTTCTGCCATTCAACTGACGTGAGTCAGCCCTAAGTATACATACGTCCCCTCCCTCCTCAGCTCCGCGCCGCCCCCCAGCCAACCCTATCCCACCCCTCCAGGCCATCACGGAGCACAAGGCACCAGCTCCCTGTGCCATGCAGCGACTGCCCATTAGTTGCCTGTTTTACACACGGTAATAAATACGTTTCAATGCTACTCTCTCAACTTGTCCTACCCTCTCCTTCCCCTCGCCATGTCCAAAAGTCTGTTCTCTATGTCTGCATCTCTACTGCTGCCCAGCAAATTGGTTCATCAGTACCATTTTTCTAGATTCCATATATGTGTTATTAATAATATACAACACTTGTTTTTCGCTTTTTGACTCAGTCCACTCTGTAATAGGCTCTAGGTGCATCCACCTCACTAGAACTGACTCAAACGCATTCCTTTTTATGGCTGATTGTTTGCTGTTTTAAGCTGCTACATTTTAGGACAATTTATTACGTAGTAATAACTAGTGAATACAAATGGCAAGAAGTGGGATATACTGTTGAGAAGCTGACAAACCAACCACTTGATATTTTAGTGTTTTCAGAAGTTTATCATGCAAACCAATTTTAAAGCCCTATGAATCAGTGATGGCTACAAATCTGCTTCATGCTTTAAACAAAAATTTAGTATTTTAAATTTCTTCTTTAATTTACTTTCCACAATAGAGCCTCAGTTTTACCTTCACTGAAGATCCAGACCAGGTGCAAAAAAAAAAAAAAAANAAAAAAATGTGTATGAAAGTGGGAACAACCTCCTTTCACTTGTAACAGACCAAGTGCTTCAGTTGGAGATAATGGCTTACATGAACTGTGTGTAACACTGCATTAACTTGTTGTCATTACCATCGTTATTAAACACAGCCGAACATTCACCACGTGCTCCACATGAGCTTCTACAAGACGTCACTGGCGCCCTGCAGGAACACAGCCAAAGGATTCAAAGCAATGAATTCTCATCTATACATAAAGGAAAAAAAAACTGATTGTACTCCATCAACTTAGAAGTATGCAAAGTAGGAATTATAAGGTTCGGTTAGTATTTCTTTTTGAACTAAACCTCAACAAACATAAATGGAGATTAAAATCAAAAGTGATGCAGGAAATGCAAGAGAAATTCATCTAAAGGTATTAACTCAAAATTTCCCTTTACCCCTGAGCCATTCAGAAACAAAAAGCCCTGGCTTCCCATTCTTTCCAGCTATGTCCTTATGTTCTGCAAGAACTGTCAGACTGACGCTTGCAGTTTTGGCAAGCCCGAAGCAAGAGGGTGGGTGGCTGGGGCAGGTTGGGGGTGGGGAGCTGAGGGGAAAGGAGAAAGGGAGGGAGGGAGGGAGGGAGGGAGGGAGAGAGAAAGAACAGACACATCTGGTCAGATCTTCAACTGGTTTCTGAGTCTGCCTGTCCCTGCCTCTCCTGCTGTTTCTTCTGCTCCTGAAAATATGATTAATGTCTATGAATTGGCAAAACTCTGGTTTATAAGCAAGGCTGAGGGCTTTCCGTCCCAACGAGGTTGAGGTACAGAGTTAATGAGAAGTGAGGCTGTGGGGAATGAACAGAAACATGCCAATGTTAAAGTAATTGAGCATGAATATCAAACACTGACTTGGGAACAGTCTTCATTTGCTGATGGGAGGTCTGATCAGCTGCAGGGTGGATGGCTGGGTGCACAGACCTGCATTCGTTGCTGGCCTCAGAATTTCCATCACAACAGCCTACACTTTATAACCTCAGTACTTTGTTTCCTCAGCTAGATTCCTATTTCCCTTTTCTTCTCTTCCTTTTGTTCTTTTTCCCTCCCCTGCTTCACGCTCTTCCTCTTCCTTTACTTCCATCCTACAAAAGCTTTCCTCTTGTTTATGAAGTTATCTCATCTATCCTCAAGCCTCACAAAGAATTTAAAGCTCCTCTCAATAATTGCTTTTTCTTTAGAATATGCATAATTTACTAATGCCAGTTCAGAATAACACAGATGATGGTGTGTGGCTAGAAGAATTGCTGATGCTATAATTTTCATTTTAAAAACCTTGCATTGTCCTCTAAAGCCAGTGAAAGCTTGAATTATTAATTAGTATAAGACACTACTCTGTCTTCTATCATTCTCAAATAGTTTACTTGTATGTTCTTAAGTGGCAAAGATCTTTGGAAGATTTGCACAATAGTGACAAAATGAACACCTTAATAAGCTCTACATTATTACTAATTTCAAGTTTTAATGAAGTGTTATTCAGAAGAGTAATAATAGTTTTAAGAAAACTAAATATTAAAAAAAAAAAAACCTTTGGTTCTAAAATTCTGTGGTTGTTGCTGTGTAGCTGCTAAGATATGCCTGACTCCTGTGTGACCCCATGAACGAGTCGGCCAGGCTCCTCTGTCCATGGAATTTCCCAGCCACGGATACTGCAGAGGGTCACCATTTCCTCCTCCAAGGGATTTTCCTGACCCAAGGATTGAACCCAAGTCTCTTATGTCTCCTGCTTTGGCATGTGGATTCTTTACCACTGAGCCACCAGGGAAGCCCTCTAAAATTCTAGGAATGTACAATAAGGCATTTTTACAAAAATTAATTTACAAAGATTTTTTTTTCACTAACAATACAAATGGACAAAATTTAAATGTACATCAATTGGAAACTGCTTAAGTAAAACACAGTACTATTCATTAAATGAAATTTAAAATGATGTATGGAAAATACATAACTAATGAAGACGTAGACAACACAGTATACTTTTAATGAGCCAAAAGCTCTAAATTCTTTTAATATATACATGCTCAGACGACCAAGCATTAATGCTTATCTAATGGCCATAGACTTTCTAAGACTGTGTTTCTACTTGTCACTTTCTAAATTTCCATTTGAACCTGTAGGACAGCTGCTAGACAGAATACTTTTTAAGTAACAAAATAACAAAAAAAAATGAGTTTCTCAATCCCTACATACACCAACAAAAACAGAAGGAAAAAAAAAAAAAAGGAAAAGCAATCACATAAGAAAAGACCTTAAATATAAAAGTGCTAATGGTTTACCTTAATAGCGTAGTATTCTCTGACTTCAGGCCTAATAGAATCAAAGTCTCCACTGATGAATTCAGGCAGAAAGCTGAAAGAAAGAGTTCCAAGTAAGTCAACCATTTAAGATCATTAGTAGCTAACCTTCAAAACTATGATGATAAGAACCAGAGAGAGAGCTAAGGTACTCAAAAGGAAAACGAAACAGAGTCTATTTTCAGAGTGAATGGGATGTTATATCTTAGGCACTTAATTTTCACTTAGAAAGACTGAGGGGAATTCCAGGTACCCAAATAATGTGTCAACTTAATCTCACTATCAGTCAATATTTACCTTGCTTAAAAAGACAGATGAAGATTAAAGAAGACTGCTGCTTTAGCAAAAGCTTCCAGTTCAAAACCCTAACACAAGGACTCTCTACAAATAGACAAAACTTTAAAAAATACCTTCACATCAATTCAAAACTTTCAATAGATTTTAACAGAATAAATAATAATGAGGATGAAGCATTTTTGCAGTCCATAAGTCAGTTTAAAAACATTTTCCAAATAGCCTACTGACATATTTCTAGAAATAGAGGAGTCTTCTCATTTTGTCTGCAATACCACAAAGATCAGGGTTACTAAATAGGAGAGGATTTTCCAAATGGATGTTTCTAATTCTATCACGATTACCGTTTTTCTCTTCCCTACCATTTTCAGAACTCCTTTAGGAAAATCTCCCTTACTGTATAAGCCATCCTTTCCTATTACAAGACATCTGATGACCTGGTAGAATTTCTTCCCACTAAAAATACCCAACTGTGAAGAAATAAAGCATCCCTGGACTTTTCAGTGCTCCTGCCAAATGCTCTAGCTTCTGAGCTTCCAAAGTATATATGAGATAAGGAAAAGAATGCTTGCTTTCATGTCTTCCAGAAATATTCTGCTCTTCATATACCAACCATAAAAACTAGATCTGGCTTTTTACTCCATTAATTGCTTTGATTCAAAATCCTAGTCTAACTTGTGTATGTCTTCTCAAGATGGCCAAATTATTACAGAAATAAATAGGTTCCTAGAGACCGAATATTACTGCTGGCTGTTATATGTCAAAAGAGGTGAAGCCCAGAACCTAGAGACATCCCTGGGTCACAGAAGACAAGACACAGGGAGACATCTCTCTGCTGGAGAGACTTCACTGATATGAAACTGGGCTGGGGTTAAGATTCAGGCCCATAAAACGTCCCCAGAGAGCCTTGCAAGAGAAGCACTGCTGTCACCCCCTACTTAACAGCTGAGGGAAATCTCATTTTCTCGTCTTTCAGATATGAATATGCGGCTATTCGCACAGGACCACTGATCTGTAGCTGCATGAGTCAAGGGTCTATAAAAACGAGAGCACAGAACTCTGACTCAGAACACCCCGTGTTCTGAGGATACACATTCAGGATAATATTCATAAAGAGGAGCATTTAAAAACCCACCCTGTTCTTTTGTAAGATGATTTTAAGTTCTTAACCCAACTGATGTGCTGCAGTCCATGGGGTCACAAAGAGTTACAAACAACTTAGTGACTGAATAACAACTACCCAACTGGAACTGTTAATTCTTAGGTTAACTCCGTCCATGTTGGACCAACTCTTCTTTGAGCTATTCATCTTCTTAGGACTAAATAGTTAAGATGAAGTCCTTCCATAGAGTTCTGTACCACATCCACTGCATAGCTTTGTCTTTTCACTAAACATTAATACTTACTTATTACAAGTTTCAATCAATTGATTTCAGAAATGTTCACTGAACATCACACCATGTGCAGAAGCAACAGTTCACTCAGAATAAGGTAAAATTGGGAAGTAAAATATCTAGGTTTTTAAATTACCTTGCCTGGTTTGAACATTTTCCTACAAACTTTTCTCCTCAAAATGTCCCTGCCATAGATAGCTATGATTTTCAATTTCATTTTATACCTACTTAGATAACTCCCTTTCTGATATCTTACTTAGGACTAAAAAAAATAGACTGCTAATTTGTATCACTTCTTTTTCCTGTTGCAAAATTTTATTCATTTTCAAAGTTTCTTCCAAATGCCTCCACCTACCACTATTTAACTATGAAAGTGTTAGTTGATCAGTCATGTACAACTCTTTGCAACCCAAAGGGCCACAGACCACCAGGCTCCTCTGTCCATGGAATTCTCCAGGCCAGAATACTGGAGTGGGTAGCCATTCCCTTCTCCAGGGGATCTTCCTGGCCCAGGAATCGAGCCCACAACTCCTGCATTGCAGGCGGATTCCTTACCTCTGAGCCAACAAGGAAGCCCCTGTTCAACCATACACAAACTAAAACATATGGTCACAGCCCATTCATACTGCTATGGTCTGAATGTGTGTGCCCCCTCCAACTAATATGCTGAAACCCTAACACCTAAATGATGTTCTCAGGAGGTGATTAGTTTAAAACAGTGGCACTCCCATGAACAGATGAGTGCCCTTAGAAGAGAAACCCCAGAAAGCTCTCTTTCCCTCCCCATCATCTCAGGACACAGCAGGAAGAAAGCCGGTTACAAAACAGGGAGCAGACCTCCCCAGGAAATGACTCTGCCGGCACTCTGACCTTGAACTTCCCACCCTCCAGAACTGGGAGAAGTGTTTGTTATTTATAAGCCATCCAGTCTATGGTAATCTGTTAGAACAATTTAAAAGTTTTGAGATACTGCTGGAAAAGATAAAGGGAACCAGCCCTCCAATACCACCACTGCCCTTTTAAAGAACCGAAATCTAAGAAGTAAATTTGGCCATTACTTCACCATGTAGAGAAGTCATTTAAACTTAGGGCTCTGGTTCTGCGCAGTCCAAATCATGCAACTTTCTAATAAGGCTGACTCTATGTTCCTCTACAAAGTTTAGCCCCTCAGATATCTAGAATTAATTTGACAGTTTCCAAATACTATATTTTTTGACAGTAAATAAAAATTAAAAATAAAGGCTAACAAATGTAGTCAGCTGAACATCTATCCCCTTAGGATGCATCATCTTAAAGAGTATTAGATCTTTTTCTTATTCTATGATTAATGAACGAAAGCAATTATGCAAATTCACTTATATAATCCTGCAAAAAAAAAGAAGAAAAGGAAGAGGGTCAGGGGAAAAAAGGTAGGGGCAAAAAGAGAAATGTGAAGAATCAGGGGAAAGGAGGGAAGGAGTGGAGAAGGGGAGGTGGGGAGAAAATAGTAAAAAGGGAAGAGAAAGGCCAGAAAAGGAACGAAAGGGAAAGAGACCAGTGGAAAAGCACCAGGAAAGACAATTTCAACATAAACTTACTAGGATGTCCACTCCCTAATTCTTAGCTTGTCCACAATACTTAACTTTTCTGAGCTCCATTTCACCTTATGTAAAATGAGGATAATTCGGAGTGCTTGTGAGGATTAAGAGCTAATATATGTAAAGCACTTAGAAAATGCCTGGCACACAGTAAGCAGGATTTAAGCCATTCAGTTAAAATAAAATGTATTACTAGAGAAGCGAACTCACTTGCTTGAGGTTAGAAGGCTAACAAGAGCGAGAACCAAATTTCACACCAGGCGGCACCGTCTTTGTTCTCTAACAGCCAAGTCTACAGCTCTCCAGACACATGCATTTACGAAATGGAATAAGACTTTCTTATTGAGAAAGTTCTCTACATAACTGCATTATCCTCCTGCTGGTTTTATTAATCAGTGTTAATTTGGCCAACCTGTATAGAAGTAGCACTGAGACAGAAGAAAAGAAGGATTTGTGCTCCTGGCAATAGAAAGGATAGAATCTTCATTAAAGAAATATATTAGGAGGAGAAATTTTGAAAATAGTGTTAAAAAAGAAGATGGCTCCAGATACAAGAAAAAAAAAAATGGTACCCAGTCTAAAGGCACAGGAATTGATCATTCAAAGATCTGAGCTAATATTCTCTGCAAAACTGCCTAACTTAATAAATAGCTAAGGAAAAAACCCAAGGGTGATCTAAAAAACAGTAAGTGAAATGGTATCGCATTTTGACTGTGTTTATAGATGCCGTAAGTTCAACTGTTTTACTAAGTCTCTAAGAAAAGTATGAAAAGTATTTAAATATGGATGATCCCTGATTTATAATGGTTCAACTTAAGACTTTTTGACTTTACAGTGGTGTGAAAGCAATAAGCATTTAGTAGGAATGCGACCTTAAGTTTTGAATTTTAATCTCTTCCCAAGCTAGTGATATGAGGTACAATACATACTCCGTCAGAGAAGCTGGGCAGATCCCAGGCAGATCCCACAAGATCGCAACGGTTACCGACACAATCAAATTCATCCTGTTTTTCACTTTCAGTACAGGACTCAATAAATTACGTGAGACATTCAACACTTTATAATAAAATAGGCGTGTTAGATGATTTTGCCCAACTCTAGGTTAATGTAAGTGTTCTCCTCCTTTCTGAGTTGAAGGATTACCTTGCCTGGCAAAGGAAAAACTTCCTTACTACACTTCCACTAGAATATGCAATTTTACTCTTCCCCAAATCCTGGCCCTTATTTGAAATCTGTCCTACTTGCACATCCAACCGGAGCTGCATGGTAATGAAGCAGCAGGGGGAGTGCCCAGCTACTCCATACCATAAGCTATCAATCCCTAGGCATGCTCTATTTAGGCTTCGAGGTTTGTGGTTTATTTTAATGAATAGAGAAGCGGTAAAGAGAGGCACAATTATGAAATCATATGAGACTTCTTGAAAGTACATTTCATTCTAGGCAGTAAACATACAAACAAATGAATATTCAACTCTGTAACTGAGCACTCTAACTCAAAATACACAATGTAAATTTGATGGATCAGCCCATGACAGGGGAATTAATCTCTCACTGTAACCACTTAGAGAATCAGAAAAAATATGTGAAACAATGGTGTTCAGACAGTGGAAAGCAGGCAGCTCAGGACAGTGAGTGCTGAAAAATGGGGAACAAATAAGATGAGCCCTCTCATTCCTCAGCTTTCTTCCTGGAGGCAGTTTCTAGCTTAGAGCACAAGGAGGAAAACTCAGATCCGCAGCCTCCCTAACTAGAGGAGACCGAGATTAATTTTAAGGAAGGCTGAAGCACTA